GACGCCATCGAATGTGAGCATTTGCCCACTCAAGTCAGCTACGCCGATGAACTGCAGTCAGGTCGAGACCCCGCTGAGGACGATGAGCATGCAGATGAGCTTCCCTGAGACGGTTTCTGACAGTTTGTGCAGAAATTCTTTGGTTATGCAAACCGATTGTTGCAGCAGCTGTCCGGGTGGCTGGTCTCAGACGATCTTGGAGGTGAAGATGCTGGATGTGGAGGTCCTGGGCTGGTGTGGTTACACGTGGTCTGCGGTTGTGAGGCCGGTTGGATGTTCTGCCAAATTCTCTGAAACGCCTTTGGAGACGGCTTATGGTAGAGAAATGAACATTCAATTCACAGGCAACAGCTCTGGTGGACATTCCTGCAGTCAGCATGCCTATTGCATGCTCCCTCAAAACTTGCAACATCTGTGGCATTGTGCTGTGTGATAAAACTGCACATTTTAGAGTGGCCTTTTATTGTGGCCAGCCTAAGGCACACCTGTGCAATAATCATGCTGTCTAATCAGCATCTTGATATGCAAAGGAGAAGTGCTCACTAACACAGATTTAGACAGATTTGTGAACAATATTTGAGAGAAATAGGCCCTTTGTGTACAAAGAAAAAGTGTTAGATCTTTGAGTTCAGCTCATGAAAAATGGGGGCAAAAACAAAAGTGTTGCGTTCATAATTTTGTTCAGTATATTAAACAACATTACAAACATGATGATTTTGTTTGAGAGTTTGCTAGTGTTTTATTACACTGGTTGCTGTAAGTATCTAGTGAGTGGTGCTAAAAGGTTAATGCTACTTACTTGCCACTTACACTAAACCCGACCCTAAATCTAACCAATAGTGTTAGCAAAAGTAAAAGTGAGATAAAAACACGTGCAAATGCAATGATGCCATTTTAGTTTGCTTCTACAAGTCTTTGAGCTCTTTTATCGTGACTTGTGTGTCATGTACCGCATCACTATTCCAGGTGAGTTACAGAGCAAGTTTACTTCAGAAAAAACATACTTACAGAGCTGGTTATGTGAAGCAGATCTCGTAATTTATTATTTTACAAATCATGCACTATGGTAAAAGTGATCAAATAAGTTTCAGAATCAAAGTTGTTGGGAAGTTTTACTGCCACTAGTGTTCATTTCAGCTGGAGACTGAAGTCAATTGTTTGTAATAGGTATGTTTTTGGGGTTTTGCAAAAATGTAGGTTGCATGTCGTACAATGAGTGTGTTGCATAGATGGTTATATGTAAATGAGATTGGCTAACCTCATTGCATGTGAAACACAACATAGTTCACACTGTTGTTCATTAAGGTGTGGCCAAGTTTCTGCTGAATACACATTGATATCTAAATGTGATCGTTAATGAGCTTACGTTTGTGTTGCCATGAAACTTCCCATAACCTAGATTATGAAAGTTGTGCCATTGCTTTTCATAAAGACTTACGATTACGTGAAATGGGCAAAAAAGGAGCCATATCTAGTGCCCAAAATATGTGATGGTCGGCTATTTTAACTTGGGTACAAGCAAATGCATGGCAATGCGCTAAAACCCTGAGCTATTTGTAACAAATTTGCAGTTTGTCAACATATTTTATTTTTTATTTATTTATGCATTTAGCAGACGCTTTTATCCAAAGTGACTTACAGTGCATTCAGGCTATACATTTTTTACCAGTATGTAAACTTACCAGTATAGATGTTACCAGTAACATCTTGTACTTTAGGCTGAGAAATAAGATTATGATGCGGACACCAAATTTGATCAATTTAATGCTGAATTGAAGCAGTAAGTATGTGTTTTGAGGTCATCATGCCCTCATTTAAGGGCCGTCTCTGGAATGTTCTGTTATTTCTCATGTGGCCCATTTCCTTAGCAAATGAATGAGTCTTTGTTACATATACCAACTCAGACGTCCTTGAAATTAGTTTACCATTGATAGATTGGGAGGATATTACAGAATGGTGGCAGTTTTTGCGTTGACACTGTGTATTTTTAACTATATAAAAGCACATCTATTTATTTGAACTTTCTTTCTGCTTGAACATGTTCTGCATGGGTTTCCAAGTGATTCAGTGGAGTTTCAAGTGATTCAGCATATGTCTGTCCACTGTGTTATTTTTCCTCTCCAGTAGCGACTTTTTAAAGCAACAGGATGTTTTAAGACGAGTGACGGTATGTGGATTTAAGAGATGCATTGAGCTTTTCCCTACCCCTTTTCTCTCTTTCTCAGTACATCTGGGATGGAAACGTTGGTAGTAAAGAAAAAAGAAAAGCATGCACGCTTTCCCCTCCCCCTCTCCTTCTCCGTCTGTGCCTGCCTATCCCGCCTCCCTCTCTGGCAGACACGCCGACCGCTACTCCCATAGCCTGTCAGGAAGTGTTATGACTTGCTGCCGTAGGTCTTTGTGAGGCAGGCAGGAATGCTGGTCTTTCAGATTAGCCTTGAAGGGTGTGGAGTGAGTACTGCCTCTACTGCTGCGACCGCTGGTGCCTACAGCTCCATTCTCAGCTCACGTCGGGACGGTTTGTCTCTATGTTTCTCTTTTTTTGCTTTTTCCTGTCTCCCTCTACATCCCCTATTTCTCTCATTAGCGTTATACACTGGGGAAAAGCATTCTCTCTGTGTCTGTCTCTTTTCCCAGCTGCTCTGCTAACGGCACAGCATCTGTAAAAGCTCTCTCTTGTTTGAGTTCAGATTTGTTGCATCTGTTTCCAGTTTGGAGTGAAAGAAGCAGCTTTGGGGTAAAAGTGCAGTTGTTTTAAGTGAGATTTTAAAGTGTTTTTTTGCATCTCATCAGACTGGTAAATCCATTTTGTGTGTTAGAGCACATGGTCAGGTTTCTGTTTTTGAATCAAAACCCAGAGAAAGCAGTTTGGTGGCGGTTTTCTTTTGCTTTGTAACTTAACACGGCATAATGGTTTTGACTTTGTTCAATCACTCATGCAGTGTTGGCAGTCCTTAGAGACACTGAAAACTAGTGACTAGACAGGATTCTCTGGTTGCTTAGATTTGTGCATGACTCAGTCCCATGAGGTCACACTACTCTTCACTCATTTGGGAAGTAAACAAACCTTAGTCAAATTAGACTACATCTATGCTTGAATTGTGAAGAAGCTTCTTAAAGCATGAATTGTGGAAGAATCAATTTGAACTGATGATTCATTGAAGGTATGTCTCAGGGAAAGGGATGCCACAAGGGTGGAGAATTGGACCATTTGTTTTTGTCTTTTTTTCTGAAAAATTCCAGCGAGGTTTCCATGTTGGCTTTCTGAATAGATGAAGGATGACATCAAATGTAGACGTTTAGACAAAATCAGACAATAACCTTAGTCTGGTGCTTTCTTTGAGGGTTGTAAACAGTTTAACCATTATGTAATGTTGGCATCACCTTATTTTTGAACATTTTTAGAAGTCCATAACTTCATGCTGTCCCACCGGGGTGTGGTGGGACAGATTGCACCGTTAATGACATAACAAAGTGTTTGAAAAAAAAGAACACAAGCTGGAGTGGCCACTTTGGGAATGAAGATGTTGGCATGCGTCGCGGGTGTGTCCTGATTCTTCATGACTTCTTGTAAGGAACAGGAAGATGCGTCTTGGGCAGTACTGCAGTGCTGTGATTGCTGCATGTAAGAGCAGATCTTAGGTCAGTTTGTTCAGCGGAGCATGATTGAGGCTGAGACGCTGCATCTGTTCTCTGTTCAATTGTTGTCGCTGGACTCTGCTCTACAGTTTTGATTTTGCTGTGGCCTTGATTCAAATGGTTTGTCACCGTAATGTGTTCATTTCCACTCACTGACATGTTGGGCCAGTGCCATAATACTGCAATTAAACGGACTCTATTAATTATTGTGATATCCTGGACTAATATTTACCTTGGTTTTAGTGTATTGTGCTTAGTGTATTATTGCTTATTGTGTGTTTGGGTGATAAGGTTTATGCTATACTCTTAAAAATAAAGGTTTTTATTGGCATCTATGGTTCTGTAAAGAGCGTTTAACATCCACAGAATCTTTCCATTGCACAAAGGGTTCTTTATAGCCCAAAAATAAGTATGAAAAATGTTTCTTTTAGGAATTGGTTACTGAAAATTGTTCTTCTATGACTTTGTTGCAAAAACCCTGTTTGGAAGCTTTATTATTTTTTTTAGAGTCTAGTTGTTAATTTCACAATTAAACAAACGCAGACTGACTGTAGGAGTCATCTGGTGTTCAGATTTTTTACACAGCTTCATAACTCGGTGATAAAAAAACACACCTTGATCTTCCAAAGAAACACATCCACATTGGCTGTGGATTGGTCTATTCCTTTTAGTTGATCTATTTCAGTTTTTCCTCTACAGTTTTCACTGTGCAATAACTGGATTTGCGACTCTTTGCTAGGCTTTTACTAGCCTTGGTTCACAGTCATCTCTACAGTTGACTAAACACAATGAAGATGACTTTAAATCAATCTTTGTCATGGCAAAGAATCACGTCACTGCGTTACTTGCATTATGGTGAGGTTGCATTCAAAAGGACCTGCCTTGACACGCCCTCTCAAACATACATTTTGCCCAAATATAGTCTACTCTGTTGCCTGCTTGACAGACGTTTGCATGTCATTTGCATGTCTTATCTTCTTACTGTACAATCCCTCTTCCAGGTTTCTCTCTTAGAAGACAGTCGCCAGCATTCATTTACTACAGCTTGGAAGTTCAGACAATAAAGTTTTTGTCCTTCTCTCCACAGAAGGACACACTTAATTTGACTGAGAGCTTCAGGTGGTTAGGAGATGGCAGGAAAGATATCCAAAGAAGAGCTGGAGGAGTTGCGGGATGCCTTTGGGAAAGTCGGTGAGTGTTCTTCCTGTCTGACCAGTTTTATCTATTCTAATCTCTACTTGGCATGCTACCCATGAAGGTGTCTTTTTCCTTCACGTATCTTGTGATTTCTACTGATTTGTCTTTGTTTTCTATGCATATCAGTGCTACATCACTGTGCGAAACCAAAAATTAGTATTAGCAAGCTCTTCAAATAGTATTTGAATTCTGGTTTAAAATGTCATTGATTGGGAAAGACTCTAGACTGTTGTTTTTGTGATGTTGTTTCGGTCCACCTAACTGCTTGTGAGGCTTGTTCCTTAACCGTCTGCATTGTTGTTGCTCAGAGATACATCTGGGTTTTTCATTTGACCTCATGAATTTTTTGGCACCACCTTGTTGCTTGGCGCTTAAATGGTCCTGATTGACTATTGTCTCCAAACCAACAACTATTTACTGCCTATATATATATATATATATATATATATATATATTTTTTTTTTTTTTTTATTTATTCAGTAGAATTTACTGTGCATGCACTATGAGTATTTTCCATATTGTGCACAATGAGATGGAAAATAAGCACTAATACAGTACCAAGTCTCTTTAAATTGTTCATTCATCCAAGCATGAAATTGTATCCATTCAATGCTGGCTGATGCTCATAGCAGAATTTTCTTGAACATCACATGAGCTTTTATTGTCCTACTTCAGAAGTGAATTTTGTTAATGTTGTTTTTAAGTGCCTGGAATATCTATATTAGCCACTACCTGAGTTTGAGTAGGCCTATTGCATAGAGTATCTGTAGAGAATTAAATTGGTATGTCAGTAGATTTACAGAAAGCAGTGCATTTAAGAGTGTAGTGCGGTTTGTGATCTTAAACTTCTGGGTTTTAAAGTTTGTGGAATTTGGATGCTTTTCATGGTCCTTGACAAGAATGTGCTTCAGACAGCATTTTCCCATTTATCTGATTTCTCCAGCAGACCGGGCAGAAAATTGAGGCCTAAACTGTTGCTAATGTCATGGTGTTATAATGCACATACTAGAAAACCCCAGTGGCTCACAGTTCCTTTAATGTTGTTTAATCAGTTTAGCATTGCAGATAGCATTTGTTATATACATCCTGTAACACAACAGCTCTGTTTCAAACCAAGTGGCCTGCCTACTGCAACCAGCTTTTGGCAAAACAGGCATTCTGTGCTTCCACATATTTGACAAATAACAAGATACCTTGTTCTGGCCAGAATCTGAGGCCGTGTTTTGTCTCTTTTGTGGATAATACCAGAATGCATTGCTTAAAGCTCAGTAAAAATGTTCAGCATAAACGTGTTCAGCCTGAACCATCACTCATTAAAATGTGGCCTTCGTTTTAGTTATAAGCATAAATTCTATAGATATAAACATTTTCATTGTTTTTGCAATGTTTCATTTAAGTGTATATATGTATTAGTTTTTGTACTAAAATTATATATTGATAATTTTTTTCACATTTCCATAATGTTTTATTTTGCGTGCATATATACAGCAAAATACAGGTTTTCTTAATTTTCTCAGAGTTTGTTGCTGATCATTTTTACTCACCAGATTACTTAAATTGCATTTCCTCACATTTTGCTTTTCTTTGTAGTAGAGGTTTCGTAACATTTTTAATCTGTTGAACTGCAGCGTAACCCAATTGCAACCAAAATGTTTGGTGCTTGTTGGAAAGATGTAAGATGTTGACACTAAACCAATAATTTTCATTTTTCTCCATAGATTTAAACGGCAATGGCTTTATCTGTGACTATGAGCTCCATGACCTGTTCAAAGAGGCCAATCTGCCCATGCCTGGGTACAAAGTCCGAGAGATCATCCAGAAACTGATGGAAGAGGGTGACAAAGACAAGGACAATAAGATCAGCTTTGATGAGTTTGTGTCTGTAAGTGTCTGCAAACCGTTCTGTGATGCGGGACATATACATTCCTAATATCCAAAAGTAATTATACATGTGCCTTCTATGTATATATACATAAACATCCAAAGACTTGCTACACACATAAATCACTTTGTTTTCTCCAAAATTTCCTTGTAATGCTTTGGATAATAAAATGTAGCCCACGCTTTGTTCTGACTATAGATTTAAAATTTGCCAATCAAATTTCATTGCTGTAAGAAAGAAAAAAAAAGCATTTACATGATCACATACACTGTTCAGATATTGTGCTGTACACGCGTGAGACTTTAATGGGTGAATGCAGCTTACATCTTTTAGAAAACGTTCAAAACAATCATTCAAAAGTTGAATGATTAAAGTCAAAAGGTTTCTGCATGATTAATGAATTAGTCAGAGTTAGTAAGATGTGAGGTGGTATTTGAGGTTGTTTAGTTGAACCTAAATTTGAAACCCAACAAATTCTTCAGAAAGCACCATTACAGCTTTAAATCCCTGATTTGCATGATCAGCAGTATCTTTCAGCGTAAGTAGACAATACATTGTACATTGAGATTAGAGTTTCAGTGCTGAATCCAGTTGGCATTTTGCCATTGCATCATTTTTAGTAATTAGCGTTACTCAAAGGATGATGGGAAAAAAGATAATTAGTATTAAAGACTGTTTTGAAACTCATCCCATATGCCACAGACATGATGCTTCAAAATGTGTAAGTTAGTTGAATAGAACTTGTGCTACAAATTTTCTAGATGATACAAAATGTTAGAAATCCCCAAAAACGAATGCTAATGGTCAAAAGTTTGAAATAACTATGATTTGTTTTTGAAAAAAATCTTGGTCACACTTTATTTTAAGGCCCAGTTCTCGCAATGAACAAACCATTAACTATGACTTTTGCCTCAATAAACTCTTAATTTGCTGCTTATTAATAGTTAGTGAGGTAGTTGTTAAGTTTAGGTATTGGCTAGGATTAGGGATGCAGCATATGTGCTTTATAAGTACTAATAAACAGCCAATATGTTAATAATAGGCATGCTAATAAACAACTAGTTAATAGTGAGAATTGATCCCTAGTCTAAAGTGTTACCAAAATCTCTTATGCTCATCAAGGCTGCATTAATTAGAAAAGTAAAAACAGTAATTATGTGAAAGATTACAATTTAAAATAGCTGTTTTCCATGTAAATATATTGTACAATGTAATTTATTTCTGTGATCAAAGCTAAATCATTACTCTAGACTTCAGTGTCACATGATCCTTCAGAAGTCAGAAGTCTAATATGCAGATTTGCTTCTCAAGAAATGTTCTTATTATTATTAATAATGTTGAAAATTAATAGATTTTCTGGAAACCGTGATATGTTTTTTTCAGGATTTTTTGGTGAACAGAAAACACTTATTTGAAATATAAATATTTTTGTTGCACGATAAATGTCTTTACTGTACTTTTTGAATAAAATTATTTTTTACGTCTTTTAATTTTAAGAAATATTTCTTGAGCAGCAAATCCGCATATTAGAATGATTTCAGTCTTGGTGAGCATAAGAGACTTGTTTTAAAAACTCTTAAAGTGGTCATATGATGCTTTTTTAAAGATCATTATTTTGTGTATTTGGTGTAACAGAATATGTTGACATGCTTTAATGTTCAAAAAACACATTATTTTTCAAATACTGTACATTATTGTAGGTCCTATATGCCCCGCCTCTCTCAAACGCTTTTTTTGCCTTCCGACAAGCGCAGTCTGCTCTGATTGGCCAGCTGACCCAGTGCATTGTGATTGGCCGAACACCGCAAGCACTCGTCGGAAATGTAACGCCCCTTACCATAATCGCAAGCTTCATCTTTCAAAATAAATGTAAAGACAGTAAATAATGTCGTTCGTTTTACCATCAGTTCAAGCCCGAAAGGGGAACAGAGTC